CCGTTGCCGCGACACTGTCGCGCTTCCCCTGCCGCGACACTGTCGCGCCTCCCCTGCCGCGACACTGTCGCGCTTCCCCTGCCGCGAGGCCGTCGCGCTTCCCCTGCTGCGAGGCCGTCGCGCTTCCCCTGCCGCGACACTGTCGCGTTTCCCCCTGCCGCGACACTGTCGGCTTCCCCTGCCGCGAGGCCGTCGCGCTTCCCCTGCCGCGACACTGTCGCGCTTCCCCTGCCGCGACACTGTCGCGCTTCCCCTGCCGCGACACTGTCGCGTTTCCGTTGCCGCGACACTGTCGCTTTTCCCCTGCCGCGACACTGTCGCGTTTCCCCCTGCGCGAGGCCGTCGCGCTTCCCCTGCCGCGACACTGTCGGCTTCCCTGCCGCGACACTGTCGCGCTTCCCCTGCCGCGAGGCCGTCGCGCTTCCCCTGCCGCGACACTGTCGCGTTTCCCCTCCCGCGACACTGTCGCGCTTCCCCTGCCGCGACACTGTCGCGCTTCCGTTGCCGCGACACTGTCGCTTTTCCCCCGCCGCGACACTGTCGCGCTTCCCCTGCCGCGAGGCCGTGGGTTTCCCCCTGCCGCGACACTGTCGCGCTTCCCCTGCCGCGACACTGTCGCGTTTCCCGTTGCCGCGACACTGTCGCGCTTCCCCTGCCGCGACACTGTCGCGCTTCCCTGCCGCGGACGCGGGCACACCCTCGCTTTTTGACGCTGGCACACCCTCGCTGTTTGACGCTGGCACAGCCTCGCTGTGTGAGGCTGGCTTAGCCCGCTGTTTGACGCTGGCACAGCCTCGCTGTTTGACGCTGGCACAGCCTCGCTTTTTGACGCTGGCACAGCCTCGCTGGGGAGGCTGGCACAGCCTCGCGTGTGAGGCTGGCACAGCCTCGCTGTTTGACGCTGGCACAGCCTCGCTGTTTTTTGCTGGCACAGCCTCGCTGTTTGACGCTGGCACAGCCTCGGTGTTGACGCTGGCACAGCCTCGCCGTTTGACGCTGGCACAGCCTCGCTTTTTGACGCTGGCACAGCCTCGCTGTTTGACGCTGGCACAGCCTCGCTGTGTGAGGCTGGCACAGCCTCGCGGGTTGACGCTGGCACAGCCTCGCTGTGTGAGGCTGGCACAGCCTCGCTGTTGACGCTGGCACAGCCTCGCTGTGTGAGGCTGGCACAGCCTCGCTGTTTGACGCTGGCACAGCCTCGCTGTTTGACGGTGGCACAGCCTCGCTGTGTGAGGCTGGCACAGCCTCGCGTTTGACGCTGGCCAGCCTCGCTGTTTGACGCTGGCACAGCCTCGCCGTTTGACGCTGGCACAGCCTCGCTGTTTGACGCTGGCACAGCCTCGCTGTTTGACGCTGGCACAGCCTCGCTGTGTGAGGCTGGCACAGCCTCGCTGTGTGAGGCTGGCACAGCCTCGCTGTTTGACGGGCACGGCCTCGCTGTTTGACGCTGGCACAGCCTCGCTGTGTGAGGCTGGCACAGCCTGGCAGTTTGACGCTGGCACAGCCTCGCTGTTTGACGCTGGCACAGCCTCGCTGTGTGAGGCTGGCACAGCCTCGCAGTTTGACGCTGGAAAGCCTCGCGTTTGACGCTGGCACAGCCTCGCTGTTTGACGCTGGCACAGCCTCGCTGTTTGACGCTGGCACAGCCTCGCTTTTTGACGCTGGCACAGCCTCGCTGTTTGACGCTGGCACAGCCTCGCTGTGTGAGGCTGGCACAGCCTCGCTGTTTGACGCTTGCACAGCCTCGCTTTTGGCAGCGCCCCCCCCCCCCCACTTTCAGACACTAAAGTGCCATTTTGAGCTCAAAATAGAGAGAAAAATACAGCAAAGTCGAAAATTCTTTGATTTTGGTTCTTGCTCGCTTCGCTCGCAGGTTTTCTTAGTTTTCCTCCATTATTTGGCGTTTGGCTCGCTTCGCCCCCCAATAAAGGTGTATAAAGCTCTAAAAATGGCAAAAGTTGCGTTAAAGTCTAAAATTTGTGTGAATTTTCGCATTAAGCTCGCTTCGCTCGCTGGATTTGGAACACTATGAAGAAGTCTAAACCGTTTTGGGTGTTCCCCCTTTAACGGTAGGCAACCCAACAATTTTTTAAAAAAATTTTCCCCCCCCCCACCAGAAAGTACTTGGGGCGGCCCGGGCCCGCGAGGCCGTCGTGCTTCCCCTGCCGCGACACTGTCGCGCTTCCCCTGCCGCGAGGCCGTCGCGCTCCCCTGCCGCGACACTGTCGCGCTTCCCCTGCTGCGAGGCCGTCGCGTTTCCCCTGCCGCGACACTGTCGCGCTTCCCTGCCGCGACACTGTCGCGCTTCCCCTGCCGCGAGGCCGTCGCGCTTCCCCTGCCGCGACACTGTCGCGCTTCCCCTGCCGCGACACTGTGGCGCTTCCGTTGCCGCGACACTGTCGCGCTTCCCCTCCCGCGACACTGTCGCGTTTCCCCCTGCCGCGAGGCCGTCGCGTTTCCCCCTGCTGCGAGGCGTCGCGCTCCCCTGCCGCGACACTGTCGCGTTTCCCCCTGCCGCGACACTGTCGCGTTTCCCCCTGCCGCGAGGCCGTCGCGCGTCTCCTGCCGCGAGGCCGTCGCGTTCCCCTCCCGCGACAGTGTCGCGCTTCCCCTGCCGCGACACTGTCGCGTTCCCCTGCCGCGACACTGTCGCGTTTCCCCCTGCCGCGAGGCCGTCGCGCTTCCCCTGCCGCGACACTGTCGCGCTTCCGCTGCCGCGACACTGTCGCGCTTCCCCTGCCGCGAGGCCGTCGCGCTTCCCCTGCCGCGACACTGTCGCGCTTCCCCTCCCGCGACACTGTCGCGCTTCCCCTGCCGCGGGGCCGTCGCGTTTCCCCTGCCGCGACACTGTCGCGCTTCCCCTCCCGCGACACTGTCGCGCTTCCCCTGCCGCGAGGCCGTCGCGCTTCCCCTGCCGCGACACTGTCGCGCTTCCCCTGCCGCGACAGTGTCGCGCTTCCCCTGCCGCGACACTGTCGCGCTTCCCCTGCCGCGACACTGTCGCGCTTCCCCTGCCGCGAGGCCGTCGCGTTCCCCTGCCGCGACACTGTCGCGTTTCCCGCTGCCGCGACACTGTCGCGCTTCCCCTGCCGCGAGGCCGTCGCGCTTCCCCCGCCGCGACACTGTCGCGCTTCCCCTGCCGCGGGGCCGTCGCGCTTCCCCTGCCGCGACACTGTCGCGCTTCCCCGCCGCGACACTGTCGCGCTTCCCCGCGCGAGGCCGTCGCGCTTCGTCGGTCAAGTCAAAAATATAGGGTAGGTCAACTGGGGGTGGGTCAACTTTTTTTGGTAATTTTTATATTACTCCTATTTATATTCCCATATTTATATTCTAATATTTATATTAATATTTTTTTTAAATTTAATATATAGGTAGGTCAACTTTGAGGTGGGTCAAGCTACATAGACTAAATTTTTTCTACGTTAGAAATATGGGGGGGCCCTTCTGAGAGGTAAGTCAAATGACATACACACTTTTTTTTTCGGAAAATGAAAAAAAAAAAACAAGAATGGTGAGGTGACGGTTAATTTCTAGTTCCTTTCTTGGGCCCCCGGCCGACATCGACCAAGCCGCAGACAACAAAACACCGCGCCACCTTTTTCTTTTTTTGTTGTTACCCAAATTTTTGGACAGGTACTGCGAGAAGGAGCGAGGTAATTGAAGTGGCAACAGGAAAAAATGAGATGGTCGGACCGTTCGCTCACTCGCACTCGCGGGGGGGTTGCCGTGTCACGCGAGTACCCCCCCCCCCCCCCTTTCCCCCCCCCCTCTTACCCTTCCTTATCATGTTTTCCCAGCCTCAGCCGCGCCGAGCCTTGTGCCACTACAACGGTCCGTGTTGCCCTGCTGTGCCCCGCTGTGGCCTGCTGCTGCAGGCCTGGAAAATCCCAAATTGTGTGCCGAGGTTGTCACTACAGCAGGATTTGTCCCGGGGCCCCGTCGGTGACTAAAGGCCGAACCAAGGGCCCCGGGCACCACTCCCGGATTAGGCCAACTTGGCGGCCGGACCGCGTATGTTCCTCACGCCTCTCGCTGCTACCCGGCGGCAAATTTCCCCGGGAGGTATTGAATTTTTCGTTAATTAGCCGAACTGGAGTACCGTCGTGATCCTGGGCCCGCCCCGCCCCGCCCCGCCCCGCCCGCCCCCCCGGCTGTACATCGTGTCCCGCCTTGAGACAGCAGCCTCCAGCCATTAGCACTCTATCTTACGGTCGCCTTATCACTGCAGAAAGGGTTCCTCCCCGGACCGAGGCTGGCCGAGGCTAGGGTGTGTTTTGGGAGAAAAATTTATGTCATCAGCAACCCGGCGAGGTCGTTTTTGTTCCCAGGACGCCGAGAAAAACGAGACCAGGACCAAAGGTTTTTAGCGCGGACATTTTTTTTCAAAATGAATCTGGAAAAAGGGGAGTGTTGAACTCACGTTTCGAGGACTGGGGGGAAGTTGCGCTCTCCGTGTCGTCAGATGTTATGGAAGAATCCGAACAAATCTTCGAATCCACAAGTTCCAAATCCGCCCTGGCGGGGTGTTGAAATACAAGTCCGCGCCGCTCCAACCCGAATCACCGTAGCCGCTGGCTTCTGGTCCGTGCCGCACGCTGTCTGACCCAGGGGACGGTGGTTCGAATCCCTGGCGGATTTTTTTTCCTTTCCTCCGTGAACCCGAGCAGCGCGGCGGCCGCCGCCGAGGAGTCCGCCGCCACCGCCGTCGAGCCGGAGGGGCGCGTCAGTGGGCCAGAAGACCGCTGGAGGCTAGGGACGGGCGATTTCCAAATTTTAGTATCGCGATTGCGATTTCTCATATATCGCGATTTCATGCGATTAATCGCAAAATCGCAAGAATCGCAAAAATCGCAAAAATCGCAAGAATCGCAAAATCGCAAAATCGCAAAAATCGCAAACAAACGCAACAATACTTATTTACTACCCATTATGGCACAAAATCTTTTTAAAAAGTGCCAAAACATATTCCTGAGTGGTCAAATGGCAGGCTAGTGGCACCGACAACACCCGGGTGGAAGGATCTGTAGTTTGGACTATAACAATATTCTACTGTTTTTTTGTGTTACTGACTCTAGTTAAAACTAACATATTAATTCAGTTAAAATAATGTTTAACTATTGCTGGAGTGCAAAAAGAGTGAAGCCCAAAGTATAGTTAAACTGTAGTAAAAGTACCAGTTATTTCGGACAACTATAGTTTTTGGCAACTATAGTTTTGGACAACTGCAGTTTACGGCAGTTCCCTTCTCAGTTCTCCCCTTGTTCTCACTGCAGTTCTAGTACAGTTTAAGTTGACTTTTAAGAATAATATCACTGTATTCAAAACTACTTTTCCAACTAAATTAAATTCCTAAATCCACCTGCATACTGCGCAACAGTAAATTTTGCAAAACTTCCAAGTTCTGCAAAATATACTGCTGCGCAGCCTGCAAGTGGATTAAGCAATTTAAATTAGTCACAAAATTTTTTTGAACACTGATAAATGACATAAAATGTTGAAGCAAAGGTTTTCTTGAAAAAACACTCTGGTGAATAACATACAATTTTTAATGAACAACAGAGCAGGCCATAAAAAACATTCGAAACACAATTTTCTTCATGAATGACCCTTTTCAATTATGTAGTTGGTTATCTGCAATGAAAAAAAAGCAAGGCATTGATAAGTTAATGCAAGTCTGGCAAACTGATTGGGAATTTGACACGGTTTAAACTCACCCAAAGTCAAGTCCAGTTTCATGGTGAAGAATGCCATTCTCTAGTCTCCACCCAAGCAACATGCAATCTTATATTTGTCAGTGAGTGTGTCACAGCATCTGTTTGATATGGACAAAGAAACAAAAAAATAACTGGCAAAGAAAGGGAGAAGAAGTTCTGTATAACAAATATTTAGTCTTACAAATAAATTCATTCCACAGTTAACTACGTTTTCAAAATGAGGCAGTTGCCACTTGCCAAATCCAGTCGAATAGGCTGCAGATGTGCTAGTACTTGTCGTTTACTAAAAAAAATAGATTTCGCTTAGAATAAGAAGGGAAAAAGGGTTTTATCTCTCCTTTGCTGTCTTTCACAACCCAAATCTACAGACAAAGGCATTTTCACAGCACTGCAGTCATTACAAAATCATGAGCACATCTACCAATTTTTTTATAAAAAAGCTATGTAAAACTTCTTGTTGTTGGTAATATATTTTCATTAGTAAATTACCAGAGAAGTTTTTAATGATTGTGAATTTCATAACTTCTACATCTGTAAACCAGAAGCGGAGAAAAAAAGTAAAGTCTAGTTTAACCAATTCCGTTCAAATAGTAAGCGCAAGATGTTTTATTTTATAAACGACAAATATTGGCACAATACAGCATCTTCGACTAAGTTTAAAGATAGCAGGTCTCTAAATTTTCAAATTGTAATCATTACTCTGGTCAACATTAAACAAACGTGCACAGGGGGGCCTCTCATAATGAAAACAATTCTCTTCACTAGGCCAGACCAGAAATAAAAATCCTGACAAAGTTGAAGTTAAAAATTAAATGGAGATTCAAAAACACTCACCAAGCATCGGAAACGTTCAGCAGCCAACTCATGGGTTTCTCCAGGACAGATTTAGAACACCAGTAGACTTAGATGTGAATGTGAAGCCACCCCTGGGCTGCTAAGTTGAAACCCGTAACTTGAACTTGAACGCCCCAAAATCCTACAAATTACAGAGAAAACTCAGATTACACAGAACCAAAGTTAAATTTTCAAAAAGCGATCTTAATAAAAATTTGATTTGCATACTTATTGGGCCATAGGAATCCGTAAACAGTTCGTAGCATCATTGCAGTTGCTTGGAGTTCTGGGACAGTTGTGTACAGAGCAGGGGTTAAGTCAGACCAGACCTGTCGCGTCGCTGCCGCCCGTCGCCGTCATGGTGAGCACGACTGCTGAAATAATGAACATTTGCGTCACTAAGAGAGTTTTTTCTGTAAAACTAACAACGCACTCGCACTAATAATAAGAAGTATTGAGCTACAGAGAATGTGCTGAGAATACACACAGAACACTGGACGACTTTGCACTGGAACCACAACTGAAACTGATACAATTTCAAACCAAAAACCTACCTCCTCTGTGATAATAGCACTTCCAAATTGACATGGTAACCACCGTGATGTTTGCGGCCCAGACTTTTTCAGTAAACACTAAAACGTTTGGCTGACGACACGAACATGAAAACTGAAGACGCCATCTTGGAGCGACTGCCGCTCGTCCTCGTCTCGGCCGGCGCCAGTGTTGCCGGGTGCCCCCAATCGCCGGGGGGGCGCTGCAAACGCCAAAAAGCGCCACGGGCTCCCCGAAAAACGCCAAACTTATGGGGATTAACACTCGAATGTTTACAAGCCACATCAGAATCCCGCCACTCCAAGCTCTTTTCGACAAATAACGCCACAAAAAACAGCGAGTCGACACAGTCATTTGTTTTCGGAACCGTAAAGTCCGACTCGTTCGGCTCCCGAGCGCGCCAATGTTCGGTTCGGTGTTCCCGAAGGTCCGTCGAAAACTGGAGAGACATGTGGATATGAGTTTAGCCACACAAAGGAACTCTTACCCATAAATTAAGATACAAGTATTAAAAAAATAAGTTTTTTTATATTTTATTTTACAATGACCTTACTTTATTTTCTTACTTAGCTCATATTTTTCAGAAATTTAGATATTTGGACCCTTTTGTTGTCATACAAAATGAAAATGAACTTCAGTGCAAGGTGTTCTTTAAGAATGTATCCCCGCATTGCTCTTTATTTACACTTTTTTCTGAGTCTTCACTACTTACAGAACTACTTTCGAATCTGAACACATCAAACAAAAGGGGCTGCAGTAAAAATGTAGATTATTTTACAATTACGGAGTACAGATCTTACTGTGATGACGCAAACAGTTAAATCTGTAGTTCTTAGTCACTTTTGGCTGCAGTTTCCGGACTACAGTTTTGTACTACAGTTCAAACTACAGTCCAACTACAGATCCTTCCACCCGGGCACGCGCCAGCCTCGTTCGGTGCAGTGGTCGCGAAATCCATGCACGGTGCGATTTTTGCGATTTAGGTTTTTTTGCGATTTAGCGATTTTGCGATTAATCGCCGAGGGTTTAAAAACCGAAATCGCACCGCGATTTTTTGAAAAAATCGCATCGCACCTGCGATTAAACGCAAAAACGCCCCCTCCCTACTGGGGGCGGTCAAAACCCAGGGCGCGTTTTGTGCTTCAGGGTCGCTAAATGGGACTCGAACCGAACGTGTACTCCACCAATGGATTGCCCCTCCCAACGAGGAATCCATTGGTGGGGGTCGGGGGGCACACGTCTGGCTCGAGTCCTGCTTAGTGACTCTGGGGCTCAAAACGCGTCTGGATTTTGGCCTGCGGCGCCGGCTGCTGGGCCCCCTGTGGGGCGTGTGCCGCAGGGGCGCGCGAAAACAACGAGAGGGGAGGGGGAAGCGGCGCCAGAGCGGCGGAGCACGGAGCGTCGCGGCGCCCGGCCTGCGTTCGGCCTCCGCCCGGAGCGCCAGCGCCGGAGTGCGAGTCATGTGGGGTTTCCACTGCCCCGGGGAAAGGGGGGGAGGTTCGCCCCGTCGAGTCGCTCCGCCGCGCACGTCGCGCCGCTCCCGCGTGCTCGCCCACGCGCCATGCCGCCCAGCGCCTTAAACACGCGCCACCGCCACTGACGGCCAGCACCGGGGCGCCCGGTTTCACCTCGGGGTCCATTTTGGTGAAACTTAAAACCCCCTGTTCGCGAAATTTCGACGAGGTCAGAGGGGAAATTTGAGTGGAGTTTCGGAAGAACATGAAGTCTTAATCTTTCGTGAAATTTTGTCGACATTTGGTGATGATAAAAAAAAATGAAGCGCTGGTGAAACGTTTGGTGAAATTCCTGGTGAATTTGGGTGAAGCTTTCAGTAAAACTTTGGTGTCCAAGTTTTTTTTTAGAAATTCCGCGTCACGCGGTAGCTGTGGATGGTGTTTTTTTGTCTTGCTGGGTTTTCTGTTCATCCCACCGGCATTTTTTCGGAAAGACCCGAATCAACATGGCCAAGTAGTCGAGCCAGAGTGAATATTGACGGGAGGAAAAGACCTTTCAAAAACGCTATGGTATTCAAACTCGCGCGCACCGCCAAATTTTATTA